GCGCCGTGTGTTTGGATCGCGCCAACGAGAAGACTCCAGATTCTCCGACCACAAGTGCCACAATCTCCTTGATATACAGCATCACGGCACGATTACCACCCACATTATCTTGCCCACGTACTCTCAAACACCTCCTTCACGTGCTCGTCGGTATCATGTTTCGACACGAAAATAAAGGGCAAGGGGCTAGCCGCAAAGGCCATGAACCGGTCATTCGACAGCTTCGACGTCGACTGAAGGATCTCGGCAGAGATGACTCGCTGATTTGCGTCTTCAGCCGTCAGGTAGAGACTCTTTGCATGCTCAATGGTCTTCAAGACCCGGTCGTCGGATGCTAACCGGACAAGATACCCTATTGACGTGCAGTAAGACGCACTGACCGTGTCATTGCGGTCCACGACATATTTCCCGAGGAGCTGGATGAACCGATCCGCATACGGCCGAAAGAGCATGGTCTTCATGCTCAACAGCACCAGCACTCGGCTGACACCGACTTTGGTGGGAAGTCCAACAGCTGACCGCAGTACCCCCTCCAGCTTAGTCGCAAACTCTTTCATTCCAGTTTCATCAAGCATGTCAATGAGATACCGTTCAATAACCTCCATCATAGGAGACGTGCGAATGCTGGAGAGCCTCATTTTGTCAATCTCTTGACCGGTCAACCCGTATTTATCGGCGTTCAGGTGAACATAATTGACAGCTTGGGGTTCCAGCGAGCTCAAGGAGCTCAAGAACTGCTCGATTATTCGAGGTACGAATGGCCGCAAAGGACCGCCAGGGCTTTTCTTTATCATCTGCACCAACGACCCAATTGCAAACCCCTGCACCTCTTGCACACCAGACTCCATACCTTTGTCGCTTAGCAAGAAGGGGATGGTGCTCTCCAGCATTGTACTTGCTCGTTTTGAGTCAGCATCACTTGTCTCCAAAGAACGAATCACAGCACCCGTGATTGTCTGACAAAGCTTGAGAGCCGCCGTCCGAACCGATTCCTTAATGTCATCAACCAGCTTAAATGCTTTGGTGAAGATCTCGTCCATGTACCTTGCATATCTTTCGGGCTGGCGACCTTGGATCAAGTCCGAGATAGCATCACAACTTGCCTGTCGGACTCGCCATTCTCGTCCCGTCATTATACTCTTCAACAGGTCACCCATGATATCGTCAAAATGATCGTTGACCACAGCCGAAGGATCCTTGACCAGGGCTTGCCAGATGGTGTTCATGGACCGCTGAACGTTGGGATTAGGATCAAAGCGGTAGCGGAACAGCTTCGGGTAAATCTTGGGGTTTTTGGCGAGATATCCGTTCACACTAGAATCAGAGAAAATGCTGCTGATCCCCAGCTTGCTGAACGCGGCACGGCTAGTCCACAAGGCGTTGTTGGATGCCAGTGACATGAACCGATACACCAGGGTAGGATCTCCGGCTTCAGATGCAAGGTTCATGATATCCTTGTATGTATTGACCGATGATCCATTCCCAGTGGGCAAAGCTCCAGGCTCGAACAGCTCGGTGTTTTCATTGACGCGACCTCCAGCGAGATTGGAATTGTTCGCAGTAAAAGAGTCCACCAAATCGCGGACGAGATCATCTTTCAATGCCTGGTCGCCCATTTCGTAGACGAGGCTCAGACCCTGCGCTCCAGTCTCTTGCACCACTTCATCGCGATCGGAGAGCAGCGCTGCGAAAGTGCCCTGGCATTTACGTAGACGGGCTTGTGTTTCCGTCAGAGAACCACAGTTCTTCACCAGGCATAATAGCCAAATGGCAGACGCTTTCCTGAGCGACGGCTTCGAGGCAGTACAGTCGGAAATGACTTTATCAAGTATGCTGGCCAGCACTGAGCCAGGAATTGTTGATACAAGAGGACGTTCGTCAACATCAAATTCAGTGGCTAGCGACTTGGACTTCCAACCCACTGCAGTGTTGCTCAATGCTTCACCCACGGTGAATTGTACTTCAGGGCTGCGGATCTCATGCAACTCGTAGAGAATATCCAGAAGGCCCTTGAACTGCTGATTATCGGCGTCCTCTCGCGAAAACACCATGGACAAAAATCCCAACGACATGATGGCAATCTCACTTTCGGCTTTTGCATCCGCCTTTAGCTTGTCTTTGATCGTCTTCCACCTTTCGTCAGATAGTGCGGTTGGTGACAGAACACCCGAAAGACCAAGCTGACCGATTGCAATCTGCGCCGACTGTCGGAGGTGAGAGTCGCGTGCATTCTCGGTTATAGCAAAGACCGAATCGATAAACTGACCCACGTGTGCATCAGGGACTCTGTTGACCTTGTCGCGGAAAGCAAGTCGGCTCAGTAAGTATGCCATTGCCAAAATCGAGCCGCGGACTCCAAGAACTGCTTCGCCTATAGCCGACTGCCACAGTCGGATAGGGTTTGACAGGTCGTTGACGAGTATCGCCAAGTTATCCTGCGAGAACGCAGAGTGAGAAGCCAGAATTCCCAGGGCCCTCGCAGCCACATTCTGGACCCCCTGATCATTGCTATATAGGGGGCGTGTCAACCTGGGCGCTTGGGGGACGAGAGCGTCCACAATATCATTTGACGATGCCGAACAAATACTGATAAACTGCTCTCCGCATTTCTGCCGTCCATCTCGATGTTCCCCGACAAGGCCCTTCAGAGCCCCTAATAAGAATAGCACGACTGCTTCTTTATTGGAAGACCGTATGTATCTCTTCAAACCCTCTCGGGCCTGTTCATCAGAAGTGAGCAGCAAGTCCAGTTTGATATCCCAGTCTTGCTCTATGTCCGTCTGAATGCCAGATTCCGAGAACGCCTCCCAAAGAAGGACATCCCTAAGGAAAGATATAGTCGGGGCGAACGCATCCTTGTAAGGGGCTGGCAGCATCTCTATAGCAGACAGGCCATGCACCGTCGCTACCGGAGAAGGATTCGACCCGAGTAGGAAACAGACAGCGTCAGAGAATTGTGGGAACTTGAACCAGGACGCACGCGACTCTTCTGTAACAGAAGTGACCCAGTTCTTGTCCTTGCTGGAATTGATGAGTCGGTACCAATAGGGATGCAGCCCCTTTTTGCCTTCTTCCACCACCTCCTGATGTCGTTCTGTTCCCCGAGCCACTGCCATAAGGTCGATCCAGCGAGCAACGACATCATTGAACGGGAGGAACCTGTTGGCGAAGCGGACGGCAGCATACTGCGTATCGCGGACTACCTGAAACCCGGTCGCTGAGTCCTCTCCGCCAGGGTTATTGTTCATCTGATGAACCAAAAACGGGCGAAGATTCTCCTGGAACTCTTTATCCCAGCTATCTACTGAGGAATTGAGTATACTACCCAGGGCTTGCTCAATACTGACGAATATTTGAGAGCTCGAGTCATCCGAACCCAGTGATATAAACAACCATCGTATCAGCTCAAACCCTGAGAGACCCTCTTGGTCTTCGTGCATTTGGAAATCGACTTTGGGTACCAGAATACCGATACTTTCATAAGCAAGGCCTCGTAAGCTCATGTCAGTGGCAGGCAATTTCTGCCCGCTTGCTCCTGGGCTCGGCCATCCTTGAGACTGGATGAAGTCTCTCAAGCCAGCTATGAGCTTAGGCGCCATACTCTTAAGATCTGACGGTGACCCCATCCGAACTACCCATGTAGTAAACGTGAAAATCTGTGTCCGCAGCTTAGAAGCTTGCAATCCCAGGGAGGACCTTGCATTGTCTGACAGAAGCCCTTCTTCAATCAACCTCAGGACATTATCTGTCTTGGTGGTGGCGTGTATCGATTTCCCTAGATAGGCTAGGACCTTTGTCTGCAGAGCAGGACGCACTGGAGGAGCTCCCTCGGGCGTCCCCTCTCCGAAGTACATGTTGTAGAGTTGCTGTACAACGTCTGGATTCTCAAGGTCCGGAATGAACCGTTTTAAAATTTCCTCTCCTATGTCGGAAAGGCGAGAATTCGCGTCGGCGGAGGCAATCAAAGCAGGAAGGAAACGCTCCGAATCAGTGAAAGCCCCGCTGGCAAGGAATCTCAAAGCAGTAACCTTGGTCTCCGTGAGGTTCAGTCCACCATTTGCCGATGGGTTCCACGTCTCTGCCATAGGCGCCCCTTTGTTCAGAAACTTGAAATCCGAGGCTGTCAGTCCTGGACACGTGGATGCGCCATTGGCTGGGGGAGACAACATCAATAGCTTCTCGAACCACGAAGCCAGAAACTGGGTATCCTGGTCGGAGAGGCCCAGGCGCGATTTCAGCTGCACATCATCATCGCTATCTTTTGGTGGCAGTTTCAACAGAGGCAGCAGGCGCAGGACAAGATTAAACACAACAGCCGCCTGGTCGGTGGATGTCCCGATTTCGGATATGCCTTGGAGTAGAGGCAATAAGATTTCGATTCATGCATTGGAACCCAGGCGATCGATTCCTTGCTGAAGGTAGATCAAGTCAAAATGCCGGATGAGCTGGGACTTTTGCTCTTTGAACTGTTTCAGCAGCGCTTCCACAGGAAGTTTGATCGACGGCGCCTGAACGCGGGTGGTGACATGTTGACACACGGCAATTACTTTGTTGCGGACTGCCAGGCTTTCGGAGCCTAACTTGAGCAGCAACGGCGCTAGATAGGTCTTGAGGAGATTCTCGAGCTTCTCATCTGTATCGGCTAGAGCGATTCTGAGCTCAACTTTCGATATTAAACTCAACTCGCGAGCCTCGGAACTCGCTGGGGTGGATTCCGAAGCCATCACGAGAGTTCAGAGGACGAGGGAAGATCGACGGTTTCGCACATCTGCCTACCCAAAGGATTCAAGGAGTTGAAGGGGGAAAATTTAGCGAGTGAGAGGTCTGAGGAAAGTCATGTATTTCCCCAGGCAGAGCACCCACGTCAGCGGTTGAAGTTACCCGACGATGGAGGAGCGATAAGCTACTATCCCGATCTGGCAGTCCCTGGGATTAGTCATCTGTGCCTGGTTCATCCCTCTCGACACTACGGAGTACACCACCTACACCTACACCTACTACAAGAGTATTTGCAATTTATTTGAAAGGAACAATAGAACATTATACTCGTATATTTTAACTTATAAAATCGTTAGAAGTCCCTTAACCCTCTGTGATACACCGTAAATCCTCAATGAATCGTGATCTATATTACGACACAGCTCTACCTCTGCTCAGCTGCTTCACCTCTCAAGAACCTCGCCACCTCCGATTCAGCAGC